GCATGAAAAATTGTATCTGAGTCTCGTGCACGCTGCTGAAAAATCCTCAAATTCCTTTCCTGCCATAGCATATAGATTGAAGCTGACAGTGTCATCCTTTTAAGTTTAACTTTGAAGCTAGTACCTCTTAAGCTCACACTATACCAAGATGAAATTTGGTTCCAATTGCATGACTTCCAATTAAAACCAATCCAATCCATCACTTTGTTCCAAACTACCGCTGAATATCTACAATCAAAGAATAAATGCCTGCAAGTTTCTTCTTGGTTAGGAATTGAGCATAGCACACACTGATTTGAGTTGAGGATTCTAAATCTGTATAATCTATCCTGTGTTAGCAATCTTGAGATCGAAGTTAACCACAAGATGAAGGAATGTTTAGGATAATGCCAACCACCTCATATAGTTCTTGATAGAGCTGCTGGAGGCATTTGCTGATTTATTCTTCTATACATTTCAGATACTTTGAATTTATCCCCAGCACTGCAACAATTCATAACAGAGGATAGGTTATCAATGCTACCAAACCTCTCAGCTAACAAGTCACTGACTTTCAGAATTTGTCTCCACATCCAAGAGTCACACTTCCTACTTTGCACATGCCAAATGTTGTATTGCCTCAAGTAATTTTCATGTATCCATTTGATCCATAATAAGTCTTTTTTGTGATGAATCATCCAGAGCAATTTAACAGCAGAAGCTAAGTTCTAATATCTAGCTGAATATACCCCCCAGTCCTCCATGTTTTATATCCTGGCAGATTGTAGACCATGCCACCAAGTGAATTTTGTGTCCCCATAGGAAATCAACACACAACTTATCTATCTTCATAAGCACTTTATTTGGTAATATATAATTACTTATCCAAAACATTTGGATCCCCAGAATGACTGTCTTGATCAATTGTAATCTCCCTGCATAGGATAATGATCTGTTATTCTGCCAGTTTTGGAATTGAGAGGTGATTTTTCTAAGAAGAGAGGAACAATCAAGCCAAGATAGCCTTTTTGAGATGAGAAGGACTCCCAGGTATCTCATTGGTAAGACCCCTTTAGAGAAGTTAAGATAAGAGCATATTTGAGCTTTGAGATCCTCTTCAATACCACTTAGATACACCGAACATTTAGCAGGGTTAGGTTCCAGGCCTGACACTTGACTAAATTTCTTGAGACACTCATTTAATCTTGAAATAGAGCTCATATCTGCTTTGCCAAATAGCAAAAGATCATCTGCAAAGATTAAGTGAGAGATTTTCAACCTATTGCATTTAGGATAAAATTTGTAGTGCCTGTCATTCTTAAGAGTATCCAACTTTCTTGATAGGTATTCCATGCCTATTACAAACAGATATGGAGATATAGGGTCCCCTTGCCTAAGCCCTATTGCTCCTTGAAAGTATCCATGCAAAGTGCCATTAATTGACAGAGAGTATTTTGGAGTTGAGATACATTCCATTATCCAACCAATCATGTTTGCAGGAAATCCCAAACCTGTCAACATCTTCCTGAGAAATTGCCAACTTATTGTGTCAAAGGCTTTTCTCAAGTCTATGTTTAATATGGCTCTTGGAGAAGTCTTCTTTCTAGAATAATGTTTGATGAGCTCAAGAGCTAGAAGAATGTTACTAGAGATAAGTCTTCCTTTCACGAATGCACTTTGAGCAATGCTAATCAGTGAGCCCATGATTTTTTGAATCCTAAAAGCAATAATTTTCGAGATGATTTTATAGACATAATTACAACATGCAATTGGTCTGAAATCTATTGCATTCTGGGGATTGAGCGCTTTAGGAATAAGTGTAATAGCTGTAGAATTGAAGGTACCTAAGAGCTTACCAGAAATAAAAAACTCTTCAATTGCTTCATAAAGTTCATCTTCAATAATATTCCAGGAAGCTTTGAAGAAGTATGCACTGAAACCATTTCATAAAGTTCATCTTCAATAATATTCCAGGAAGCTTTGAAGAAGTATGCACTGAAACCATCTGGACCAGGACTTTTCTCATTAGGCAATAATATTCCAGGAAGCTTTGAAGAAGTATGCACTGAAACCATCTGGACCAGGACTTTTCTCATTAGACATGGAGAATACTGCATGTTTGATTTCATCCCTAGTAACAGGCAAGCTGAGCATATTTCTCTGATCAGATGAAAGTACAGGGCCATTAGCTATTATCTTAGGATTAGGCAAAGTAGTGGGAGATGAGGTACCCAATAAGCTCTTGTACAAGTCCAAAAATTCAGCTATAATATCAGGCATATCTGTTAATCTGTGACCCTCTCTATTATATAAAGACATAATTCTGTTATGATGTCTTTTATTTTTCATCACTGAATGGAAGAAGTGTGAGATTTTGTCTCAATGAATACCCTAGTTAATATTTGCCCTTTGCCTATAAAAAGAGTTTCACAGTCCAGTAGCTTAACATATTTACTGATGCATTCTTTCTCTTTCTTAATCAAGGATGGATTGAGTAGATCCTCACTTAGTTGCACGTGAATGCCAGCCAGATCATTCTTAGCTCTAGTGACTTGTTCACTAATATACATGAAGTGCTTTTTATTTAACTCCTTAAGAGCTGGCTTGATATTTTTGAGCTTGGTGTAGAATTTGAACATCTTATAACCATGAATATCCTGCTCCCAAATTGAGCTGACTGTTGGTAAAACATCAGGGTGTTTGGCCCACATGTTATAGAACTTGAAAGGCTTTTTCCCCTATAACATCATCCCCTATAGTTAGTGATCTGAACAACTGGGCATAAGATAATCTACCTGACTTGAAGTGTATTGCTAAATCCGTTCTTCATTGATCAAACATCTGTCCAGTCTAGACCATATTCTTGTGTCCACATCTTGCTTATTACTCCAAGTAAAGTAACATCCTGTTGATCTTATATGCATCAATTGACAGGAGGTAATAAAAGTCCCAAAAATCTTCAGTTTCAGCTTCAGTCACAGGCAAACCCCCTATCTTTTCCTCGCTGCTAATAATTAAGTTAAAAGCTCCTCCAATAAGCCAGGGGCATGTAACATTACATTTAAATTCCAGAAGATCATGCCACAAAACTCTCCTGTTAATCTGCTGGTTCATAGCATATACTATATTGCACATACAGGAAATTTTCCCATCTTTAGACTCAATATAGCATGTCAAAAAATTGCTCTGAAGATTTGATGATGTGAGCATTGGGTATATCATTATCCCATAATATCCATATTCTACATTTTGCAGCACCTTGTACATTGGAAGCCCATTGCCAGTTTTTTGTTATTTTCCTTGATAGAATCTGCAGTTTGATTTCAGTCAGTTTTGTTTCCAGAAGAGCAAGAAATGATAAATTGTACTCTTGAATGAATTGCTTCACTATCTTATGTTTAGAGGAATTATGAAATCCTCTAATGTTCCAGATGGCTAGGTGCATTATTAAAATATCCCTCCTCTATCCATACTAGATGGATCATTTAAATGCTCCAGGAGTGAAAAATGAGAACTTTGAGGAGTAAAATCACCAGAAACAGGAGCATCCATTCTCCTAGCTAGTCTGCTTTTAATGACATTAGAAAATCCAGAAGCATGTATAACTGGGGATGAGAATCTGTTTAACTGATATCCAGCATTTGGTGGTGCATGTTTTTGTGCACTCTGACTTTTATTACCTGAGGATGTCAGCATATCTGTAGAACCCCTTCCTTGCTCACTTGTGTCTTGTTGTGCATGTTTTTGTGCATGCTTTTGAATATTCAGATCATTTGCTAGATTAGACTCTGGAAAATCCTTCACAGTTTCTGAAGCATGAACATGCTTCTGTGCTAAAAGAGGACTAGGTTCTAAACCCTGATCAATTTGCCCTGTATAGACCTCCTGTTCAGATATCTCTTGCCTGGTAGGATTAACTATGCTGTGCGCTTGCATTGGTGCATTATCAGTTTGACGATTAATAGGAACCCATACCTTAGTACTCTTCTTCCTCCTGCAATGTTCAATATCATGACCAACTACAGTGCATAGGGAGCACCATTTTGGTTTAAATTCATAGTGCACTGCTTGTTTATATTTCCTTCCGTCTGGATCTTGAATATTCAAAAAGTCAGGTAATGGCTTTTGCAGTGGCAGTTTCACCTCAATTAAAACTCTAGCATAAGACAATCTTTGCCTAGTTGCTGTAAGTTTATCTGTTGTGATAGGTTTGCCAATTAAACTAGCAACTTTACTTATACCAGTTGAGCTCCATAGGTTTAATCTCAGATTAGGCAATTGTACCCACAATGGATAATAGAAATCCTTTAATTTTTCCATATCAGTATCTATACTCCATGGAATTAACATTAGGGGCCTAGAACCAAAAAACCAAGGCCCTGCCTCAAGAACATCCCTCTTGTGATTTTCAGATTGAAAATAAAAAAGAAATAGACCTTGTTTAATCAAAGAGACCTTAGGAATTGAGATATTGCCCCAAATCTTAGTCACATAGGATTCCATAGATTTATATTTGACATTCAATCCTATGACATGTCCAATTAGAGCATTCCTCCAAAGTTTTTCACCTTCCCTCCACTCCTCAGTAGAAAAAGAGATTGTATCAGAATTAGAAGATGGAACAAGATTGAGAGATAAACCATTGCTAGATTTTCTATTGTCAGCGAACAGACTGACAAAATTAAACTCGACAGATTCTCTCGTTTCAGACAATGGAACAGTATCAGTATCCGAAATCAAATTTATAGATCTAGGATCTGGTTCAAGAGTATTAACAGTAAATTCATAGTTAAGCCCACCTTATTTCTATTTTAATACATAATTGAGTTAGGGTTAAAATAGAATTATGTAATGTTTAACAGTAAATTCAACAAATGCTATGGTTTAAAAAGTTCTAAAAATTAGCTCCTCGAGTGTCAAATTGAAAAAAATCATAGAAAAAAAAATCATAGATTTATAAAACGTAAGAAATTAAAGTGCAACTTTTAAAAACTTCGGGGTGTGCCTACTTTTTAACCGCAAAACTTCATCCCAGACCCAACAAAAAAAATTCGCAGCACATGAAAATGGTCTCTCCCGCTCGTTTCTTCCGCCTCCACCGCCACCGCCGCCTCCACTCATCGTCCACCACCTCCCCAAGCCCTAACCCTAGCCCTAACCCTAAACCCATCTCCTCCCTCATCAACCCCATCATCAAGCTCCACGACCCCGACGCCCTCGTCTCCCTCTTCAACCTCTCATCCGCCGACCCCCGCTTTTCCGCTTCACTCCCCATCTTACTCCTCCACCGTCCGCCGCTCTCCTCCGCCGGCCGCCCCGACGCCGTCGAAGCCCTCATCGAGCACCAGAAGTCCCACCCCGACTTCGCCCAGTCCGAGCCCTTCGCCTCCCGCCTCATCCTCCTCTACGGCAAGGCCCGCATGAAAGCCCACGCCCTCTCCACCTTCAAATCCCTGAAATGCCCCCGCTCCGCCCTCTCCCTCAACTCCCTCCTCTCCGTCTTCTCCGACGACCCCGACAGGATCGAAACCCTAATCCAAGAGATCCAATCGGAATTCCCCGACATCGAGCCCACGGTCGTCTCCTACAACATCATAATCTCCGCTCTGTGCAAGAAGCAGGAGTTTGAGCAGGCGATGGAGGTCGTCGAGCGGATGGGGTCGAAAGGGATCTCGCCGAATTTGGTCACGCACAACACCCTGCTCAACGGGTTTTACGGTTCCGGGAGGCTTGACGATGGAGAGAGGATTTGGGAGGGGATGGAGGAGAGGGACGTTATGAGCTACAATGCGAGGCTGAGGGGGCTGGCCTCCAACAACAGGGTCCCGGATGCGGAGAAGGTGTTCGATGAAATGAAACGGGTCGGGGTGAAACCCGATATCTACAGCTTCAACGCTCTGATGAAGGGGTACTGCGAGTGTGGGATGCTGGAGGAGGCCAAAAGGGTTTATCTCCGTCTGGGGGGGAATGGTTGCCGCCCGGATCTGTGGACGTTCAAGATGCTGGTCGTTGAGTTCTGGGTCGCGAAAGAGTTTGACTTTGCGGCGAGATTGTGTAATGAGAGTATAAATTACGGATGTTATCTGAGCGTGGAGACTTTGCAGGCTGTAGTGGATGGATTNGATGGATTGGCGAAGGAGGAGATGTTGTTGAGGGCGAAGAAGCTTGTGAAGCTCGCTAGGTCGAGGAGTTTTTACGGGAGCAAGTGTTTGAAGATGCCTTTGAGTTGTTTTGTGGTGTAGGTGAAAGCCACCTCGATTATGATTCATTAATCTAGATCATCAGGTAATGTATTTTTTTTTATTCTCCATAAGATAAGGTGTGTTGCATTTTAGATTAGGACTAGAATGCTGATGCGTCGAAGAGAATTGTAACAACGCATGGCTACACTATACGTTGACAATGCTTCTTCTATGAAAAAAATTTAGCCATTTTGGGACTTTTATGGTTGTGGATATACGTTGCTACAATGATATGTTAGTCTAAGTGTGTAGACCCAAAGCTGCAATCGAAAAGACGAAGAAAACAGTCAGAAGACTGTGCGGTCGCACGCGCAGTGGCAGAGACGGTCGACCGCGTGCACTGGCAGGAAAGCTGAGAAGGATTCGGTCGGCCCTGGCGCGGATCGAGCGGTGGCCGCTGCGGTCGAGCCGAGATCTGTGCACAAACACCCTGTAAAGCAGATTTCGTTCTGGCCGTCGACCGGACCTTGACCCACGCGTCGACCGCGAAATGCGCCCAGACAGTTTCCAAAACTGTTTGCTGGACTCTGTTTATGTTTTCAGGATTCTATAAATACCAAACGTTTTTTTAGGGTTTTGTAGACATTTCAAAAAGAGTAGGCTTTGTTGGCTGCAAAAGATGAGTTGAGAATCTGCAGAGAGATTTACCCCTTGTGAGAGCTTGTAATTGTTTCTATCTCTCAATTATAGAAAGGATTGTGTGCGTCGTGGCTCCGCAGAGGACGGTAGGCACGTTGCCGGAACCTCGTTAAAATCTGTGTTGTTTCGTCTCTTTACTGTTTCTTACCAAGTTGTAGATCTCTGTATTTGATGGTGTTTATTCCTAACCTTTCCTCACTTTCAACACAAGGTCGGAAGGGCAAGGGTTCGATTGATTGTTCGAATCCCCAACAACTGGTATCAAGAGCTGTCGCTTCAGCAATTTGTGTGAACAGCATGGCAGAGGAAAACAAATCAAAGATTGAGAAGTTCGACGGACTCGGATTTGCGGTCACTGGGAAGTCGCATAATTTTTGTGATGGAGGATATCTGTACAGAAGGAGCTTGTATGCGCCCTTCTGGGGCAAGGAAAAGGGAAAGATGAGACGACGGAGTCAGATGTGATTGGGAGGTACTGGATTAGGAAGGCTCTAAGGGGCAATCCGGTTGTCGCTCGCCAAGAATCAGTAGCCCACAACTATTCTGAAGGAGAAGACACGGGTGTGGGCTTTAGTGGAGCGCTCCGGAAGATGTACGAGCAACCGCAATGCGGACAGCAAACAAAGGTGCATCTATGTCAAAAAACTCTTTCAACTTCAAGATGAGAAGGAACGGTCCTTCACGATGCATCTCGCGAGTTCACACGATTGCTGATCAGACTTATCTCCGTGGACATCAGCGTTCGATGACGAAGTGCACGTCTCTCTACTATTCGCAGTTGCGGATAGTTGGGCGGGGTTGTGTGACGGCAATTAGCAACTCGCGGGGAAAGAGGAAGTTAAAGCTGAATGAGAGTTGTTAGCATATTCTAGTCTCGAGGAGGTGATAGAAGAAATCGTCCGAATCAGAAGAGTTAGGTTCAGCCTGCTAAGTTTCGAGGCAAGTAGGCAGAAGCCAAGAAGAAAGGGAACCAGAACGGAATCGGTCGAATATCAGCCGAGAAAGAGGCGAAACTCGAAGGTTAGGTTACTATAAGGGAAGTGTTGGAACTGGCGCTAGGAGGCGTCATATGTCTGCTCGGTATGGTAGAAGCACAAGAAAGGCAATGCGGTTGAGCCTAGGAGGCTTCATATCGTGCAAGATGCCGTTGATCCTTGTATGTCGATAAAAGCGTCGATTTCTGATTCTTGGGTCGTATCGAGCTCAGGAGCCTCTTTCCAGCTGCCACTGCGCTAATAGGAGACTCTGGGTCAGAACTTATGTAGGCAGGGGACTTTTTGGTAAGTATACTTGGGGGATAATGAACCTTTGTAATATTGTGCTGGAGAAGGGCGGATGGTTTGCAGACTAGTCGCCACGTTTGCTGGGTGTTCTCGCCAAAAGTTTGAATTTGATTGGTCGAAATTCTTATTATACTCTTTAAGTGATTACAATAAATTCCAAAGAAACAGCCTTTTTATAAGATACTCTGTTTACACGAAACAAAAAGACAAAATTACAACTCTTTGAGAAAAATAAGCGCAGGATCGTTGTTTGGGATCCCCTGCTGCGTTCGTGGGCTTGTCTTGCGTGCCTGGTGCGCCTGCCGGGAC